CATCTGGTTTACTTATTATGTCCCGGTCTTAATTAATTTTATGACACCAAGCAAACACCTTTCTATCGCGTACCAGGGCATCAATTTACGGCGCCTGCTGAGATTTTTTTTCTTGAGCAAAGCTCCTCATGCACAGGCAAAAAAATCGCACATCCCATGCTGAAATTTTGGTGAATCCCGATTCCTGGGTACCTGTAAAATCCCATTTCCCTGTTAAGATATCTTGTGCTTTCCTGAATCCCGCGCCGTATTTTGTTCAAATCCCAGATCCCAAAAGTACTCTTCCAGATCCTGTGATGTCTCCAAACACAAGTGATACATTTATATAAGGGATCTTAAGATGGTATGGTTAGGGGAGCAAGTGCGCCATTTTATTATTTGAAAGGGGATCATGATAATGTGATTATGACATTCAGTAGCCAGTGCACCCATCTCTCCCTCCCACTGGAAATGGGGCATTCTAAGGTGTCTATTACTTCATTTGTACTGGGCAGAGAATACGTACCTTACGTAGAATATTTTGAGAGGATAATTTTCCCCCCATATGGTAATAATGACATTATCGCTACATTTAGTAGCTAGCCTACCTATCACTCCATGGTACGAGGCAGCCTGCCTGTATTTAAGGCTACGGGTAAGTGTAATAATTATTTATCCTTACCTATACACTTGGGTAGCCGATCAGAACACAGGACACACTTTATCTTGCCTGCTCACAGATTCAGCCAAATAATAAATGCATAATATAACATTTGAAAGGCCTAGTGAGGCTATCTCAATTTTTTATGGTGGGGAGGCTTGTGTGTTTCTGTGACCTGGACAGCTTAGTCACTTGGTGAAACACACCCTGATGATGACGATGATATTGAAAGGGGTGGTATGTCAGGAGCAGTTTCTGTTAAACTCATCGACAAGATGAGCTTGGGAGCGTGTGCCTTAAAGGTGGAATGGCAGGTTGGCAGACTCCCCCGGATATCTATGAGCTGCGACTCCTGCAGCATGGAAATTTTAATTATGCAGTTGCACCTTCATGGCCGACCAGTCAGTGACCCAGGATGCTGCTGCATGTTTTCGAAATGCTGATCATAATTTAGGAACAAATGACCACTATTTAAACTGCTGGTAATTCAGCAGGATTAGAAGCTTATATTGTGATGGGTCTTTCCAGGGTTGGGGGAAATACAAGGTGAGAAAGCCTCCGTCCAAGTGACATAACATCAATATTTTTTTCCGGGATCCCTACTAGTGAAGACCATTTGGCCATCTAAGAACAGCTATGGCTCTGTTGTGGACTGAGGGATGGTAGCTTGTAAAAGGTTGCTTAACTCGACTAGTTTCCCAGGGACGATCTGGCTCACGATTTTCGTAGGACCCAGGGAAAAGCCAGGGCCCACAACAAAAGGTTGATGCAAAACTGGAAGAGGGTAGTAACCGTGTTCATACTCAGCAGTTCCGAAGACACAATGAAGGTGGAACTAGCGCCAAACGCTGATGTAGAAAGTGACAAGGTCCACAATAGTAGTAGCACTGGTTGGGTGCAAAATCGAACAAAAGTGTTCACAAACGAAGGAACTTCAAAGGACTGTGTACCTGTACTCTAAGCACTAAAGGGAATCAGAGAGCATGCCACCAGAAGCCAGATACATTGCAGAATGAGAACTAAAGATCTTCGGGAATGCCCCCAACAGCCAGAAGAGAAGATAGTGCTATGAAAGGTAATTCAGCCGAACTGCTGGGTGCTGGAGGTTGACCCCTGCTTTTCCTGCCGCTAGAGAAGCCTGGAGAAACCACCTCCACTATCTGCTGAACCAGTGATGGAGGATTGACATCGTTGTTCCGGCAGCAGACAAGCCAGTTGAGGATCCAGCAGACGAAGCCATAGTCGAGACATGACTGATATAATCCAATGAATACAAGTGCTAAATCAAATGAAGAGAAACTTGAAACGAACGACAGAAGCGAGCAAAAACTAGCAGATATCACAGTTTGTGAATTGCAATGATCTGCAAAGATCTAGCCTGGGTAGCAGGCGCTTGGAAGTAGTGGGCACAAGAAAAAACGGGCATGCACGAAACACGAGGGGAGAGGGAGCGCCTGCCTGGAAGGCCCACGAAAATCATTTCCCGGCCCCAATCTAATCACCTAACAGCAGTTGCATGATCTGTCAAAAGTTTTTACAGAAAACGACTGACCTCGCACAAACAAAGCGTGCTGCTTGGTCTAAACATATCTGTTATAAAGATCAGCTGGATTATCTGATTATAGGGTGATGGAGCAATAAACTGATGGTCAACACACAGCTTTAAATCGTTTTTAACCACGGGCACAATAAATAGGAATAACAAAGTCAAAACTGGGTATCTTTTAAAGAATGCATGCTGTGTATTATAAAAAGCTAAAAATATTGTTCTCTGAGCTTACTTAGCCACAACTGTACAGACACCAACAATCACAGCGTACATGAAAAATGACCATTGCTTTTACTGCGCTAAGTGGCAGCCGTTTTTGGAGCAGACATGTCTTACTAAGCGGACCTAAACTTCAGAACACAAACTGTACGTACCGACACGTCTTCTACTGCAGTAACGAGACATAAACAACAGACCTCAGGTCGCCTCCGAACGGCGAATAATACAAAGCGAAACGTTCTTTCAAATTCATGCCCCTGGTAAGTGTTTCATTTCATCAATCATGTGCAAGTTTTGATGGTATGCATTCCATCGACAACACAAGCCACCAAGTTCTCCTGAGCAAAGAATATTTCCTCTGATCTTCATTGCAACGATTCGACAAATCTTTTGTCTCTTGCCACTCCTGCTAATGCGTATCTGATATCTTTCCATCGTGAATACCGTTTGATCGCTCCAACTTTTCTTTGAGAATACAGCCACATAGTCCCATTAAACCTGATTGAAGTGACCTCCAAGTCCTGAACTTCGATTGTATACAATTTAATGGTTTCAGGAGCTAGTGGTGTAATATAAAATCTTCACTACATTGTCCATGTACTATTGATTGACAGTTTTCTCGCCCTGCGTGGTAACTTTTTCCCTCAGGAGCCTCTCGACCAATTGGAAATATCTGCACTCACAGAATGCGAGTTGAGACAATTTTTGGGGGCCTTCTGTGCAGGTGCTCCCTCACCCCTGGCGTGTCACCCTCGCACACGCCTGTTCTCTCTTTCACCCACTACTTCCAAGCGCCTGCTATGCAGGCTAGCAAAGATCAGCAAAGCAAAGAAAAGCAGAGCTGAGATATGTAATCACATGTAAGCCCCTGCAGACCTGGTGGCCACTCCACAGAAGGCTGCCTGCCTGGGGTTCAACCGCTGACCCGCTAGTGTTGTCTTGAGGTTAACCTTGCCTAAATTACAATATAAAATACTCCACATAAAATACTAGCTTTTCTCAAGGGAATAGTCTTGAATTAAAGAGTTCTAACAAAGTCATACTTTTCTTATAGGTTTGTTCAAGGCACCAGTACTGCACCTGGCAACTCATACATAATATACCACTGGCAGCTTATTGACATTTTTGTATACTTTAGTCATCATTTTGTTACCATACCTCCTCCGTGTTGGACCAATGCTGCACACACCCATGGTGTTCCAGTGTTGGGCACTGTAATTACAGAGTCTGAGGATGGAGTTGTAAGATGCAGCAAATTTTTAGAGGACATGGCTTCATGGAAGAGTCTTGCAAATCAGCTGGTTGATATAGCAGAGTATTACAGATTTGATGGTTGGCTTCTTAACGTAGAAAATCCCATACAGGTAAATGAATGTGTTTATTAGTTTTCCACTAAATGGGTTTTAAAAACTAATTACAATCAATACTAAATACATTAAAATTAAAAATCTAAAATTCTAATAGATGTTAAAATATATCACATTACTAATTAAAAACTCCTTAGAAATTCCTTTAAATGTCTCTTGAAGATTGGCAAATTATCACATCCTCTTATTTCACATGGAAGAGAATTCCAGAAACTCGTTGCACGGTATAAAAATGTGCGTTGCCCAGAAGCTGACTTATAAGCTGGGATATCCAAGTTATTCTTATATCTAGTATTACGGTCATGAACGCAATCACGTGTCTTAAATCTATGACAAAGGTAGCTAGGGGCTAACCTCTTAACACATTTAAATGTTAAAACTCCAAGTGTAAATTGAAGAAAACTGGTCACGGGGAGCCACCTTAGCTCTCTTAATGCCGATGTTATATGATCAAATTTCTGCTTTCCAGTGATAATTCTACAAGCAAAATTCTGAACTTTCTGCAGCTTCGAGATATTTTTCTTTGAAGTATTAGACCACACCGGAGAACAGTAGTATAACTTGCTAAACACTAAGGCATTTAGTGTACTGAAAAACAATTGATGTAAACGTGACTCCACCTCCTGCTAGCTTTTCATATATGGCTAAATAATATCTGGATGGGTGTTCATTAAAACTCTAAAAAGAAGCCAACAACAACAAAAAAAAGAAAACTAAATATGAAGTAATATAAAATCTATCTTGCACAACCCAAAAGCATAATCATAGCTACCTGCTAAGAGGGTAAGCATAATATGATTAAATTTTTTACTTGTACATTCACTGCATTCATGGGGCTTTTTAGGGATAAAATTAGTGATAAACAAGTTAAAGTTAATTGGCCAGAGATGCTCCAGTTGATTTTTTAAAATTTTTTCAAGTGTAGTCACGGAGCTGCACCTCGGTTTAGTAAAATGTATTTTCAGCTAATTTTCATTTATTAAGTTTAGTCGTGAATTAATGCAATTTAAATATTCCATATAAACACAATGGAAAAAAATGGGACCTGAACCTCAAAACTCTTGTCAAAGTTAACCTCCAGGCATGTACATGTATTTCATCTTTGTTATTTATAAAATATATTATTGTTGGGTACTTTTATTTATAGCCAGTGCAAATCAACAATCTAGAAGAGTTTGTAAAATATTTAACTGCGGAGATGCATCAGCGGATTCCTAATTCCTTGGTAATTTGGTATGACAGTGTAACATACAAAGGAGACCTAGCCTGGCAAAATGAACTCAATGCTAAGAACAGGTACATAATTATTGAATCAGATCTGTCAGGAATTTACATGTAATGTGGGCTGTTGGCAAAATGTGGATCGGACCCGATCAGATTACTCCTAGTGACCCTATCCCTTACCTTTTGTCATTTAGTGAGTTTCAGGGGCTGATTCAATCCAGTCTGATCCCAGTATTGTTGATGCCATTTAATATGTACTTTTAAGAGAATGTTGACTCTGTTATTCATCTCGAGCTCATTGTGGGGCTGTCACTGAAATTTCAAGTTGCCATGTAATTGAAAAGCTAGGAAGTTTTTTGGTCTCCTCTATTTTCCATTGTTTTCTAATGAAAGTAGCCAGGGATATGCCTATAATACTCCGGGGGAATTCCTTGGCCCCTGGTGCTTAGTGACAGAATTGTCAGTAGATCCTAAAATTATTATTCAGGCATTAACAAGCTTCCTGAGAATCACTGATCACTGAAACTTATTGTTTCTTTAATATGAGGCTGATAAATTTTTGTGCTAAAACATTTTTTGGATTATAACACTCCCCCGGTTTTCATTTGTTTGGCAGAATCTTTTTTGATGCAAGTGATGGTATATTTTTAAACTACAACTGGTCTGAAGCACACTTGATGAGATCTGCAGGTGCTGCTGGGCATAATCGCCTGACAGACGTCTATGTTGGAGTGGATGTTTTTGGGCGTGGCTGCTTTGGAGGGGGTGGCTACAATTCTAAACTGGTACGTAACAAGTGTGATATGTTTCAGTAATACTATTTCAAGGCTTGAGATGTGTTTAGATATATTGATCACTGTTGATCCTGCAAAGATTTTGACTTTTGGATACTTAAAAGTATCTAGAGCGGAAGTTGTGTGTAATGGTCTCTGTAAATAAAATGACTTGCTTTTACAGAAACTCTGCTAATATTGTTCAAAACTGAACATACATCTGTGAGCAGGTATGTGCTGCCCAGGTAGTTATTAGTAAAGCACTCAACCCTGTTCAGATTTTGGCTTTAAAAATATGATTCCTTGTTTAAGAAAAGTCCCATTCTAGTTACTTATTTCACTGCCTTACTGTGAAACATTTGTGTTTTAAAAAATTAATATCACACCTAATACTAGTAAAAATCTTTTTTTTTATAAGAATAACCCATTCTAATGAGTCCTAAAATTAGGACACCACTGACTGTTTTGAGGGATTAGCCCTGTCCAAAATTCCATTTTAGCTTCATGTAGTTGTTCTTAGATAGGGTCAAAATGTGGCTAAATGTAATTTAGGCAAAGTTAACCTCGAAGCAATGCTGGTCAGCAGTTTCCCCAGCTATACTAGGGGTGGCCCGATGCCTCTAGCAGGGGCACCTCATGACTTATATATGCAGTTGCTTGCTAACAGTTCTTCGCAAAATGTTGTTGCAATAGATTGGTGTTTGCGTGCCAGTTTGTGCTTTGGTTTTTCCCATCCCTCCCTCCCTCTTGAGGTATAGGCTAGGTAAGTATTGGTCGGTAAGTATTCCACTGAATTGTTCAGTGTGACGGTGCCTGGTGGGGACCGCTCGCAGGGTTGCCATGGATACCCCCTCCTCATGCTAGAGCATTGCCTGGCTCCACCAACTTTGTAGGCACCAACGCCTAAGCTCATCTATTGGTTATGAGTTTAATCAAGGAAAGTGTTTCATTTTGTTTTAGGCTTTTAAAGTAATAAGAGAGGAAAAATTGTCTGCTGCACTGTTTGCTCCAGGATGGGTTTTGGAGACACAAGGGTCTAAAAACTTCTTTGTGAATCAAGACAAGTAAGATATTATTATAGAGTCTTAAGACTTAACATTGTGTGCATCTTTATTAATGTGTCTGAATTCTTTCAAAGATTTGTTATGTAGCCTTGAATATCAACTGCTGTATATTGTAACATGTTTATTTCAACTGTGTAATGTGTTACATTCATAAATCGCGACTTTTCCTACACATTATTTTTTCGTGAAGATCTCTCTGGATGAAAGAATTTTGTCCAAGATTCAAAAGATTTTGTTGAATAATGCCTGAGAAAAGAAAGAGAGAATAATTCCATTGACATGTGATACAATTACTACTTTTCACAAGGTTTGAAGAAATTTGTAAATAACTTGTTTTCCATATAATGCAGAGTCAATTAATCAATTACAAACCTGACATTTCTGTTTTTTCTCTTCTGTATCTAAGTATGTCGCAGCTTTCGCTTACAATTTTCATGATTGGATCATACCGTAGGTTTTTCTAATGCTTCAACTGTTATCTCTCTTCAAAGGTTTTGGAACCTGTTGGCACCCTACTGTACTGTGCATTCAGCAGTTAAGGAGATTCCATTTGTAACATCAACGTGTCGTGGTTGTGGAAAAACTGCGAACATAGATGGAAAGGTGATTTGCAGCTAGCATATTGTCCATTATGAATTAAGTACACAAAAATTAACCTACAATATACTTGATATACCGGATCTAGGAAGAGTACACTGTTAATTAGGCCATGAATGACTTTAACAATGGAATTGCTCATCTAGATGAACATTCTATTCAAAGAATACTTGAGAATATGAAATTTGCAGTTCAAACTTCATTAGAATGCAAAACCTCTTATTTGGAGTATTTTGTTTTCTGAATCAGATCCATTGAAATAATATTTGACTAATGAGCCCATTGTTGTAGTTACATACACTGTAAACGTTTTCCTCTTCTTTTATTAACAGCTAGTTTGCCATTTATATTTCTTCCCTTTTATTAGCATTGGTTGATTAAATACAGTGAAACCTCTATTAAACGAATCCCCACTTAAGCGGACACCCTCTATTATAGTGGCCACTTAGCCTGGTCCCAAAATTAACATCTTATATTTCCCTTCATAACGAACCCCTATTCAGTGGACACCTCTATTAAGGAGACGCGGACACTAATTTCTATTGTTAAAAATCTCTATTAAGCAGACACTTGGAAAGGTCCCGAAGGTGTCTGCTTAATGGAGGTTTCACTGTTTTAGCAAATTAGTTCATTGAGCTATCTGGCTTAAATTATTGAAATGTAAGTTTTGTCTGGGTACTACCCAGTTATCAGAGTAAAATTTCATTCAGGGCTCTTGCTAAGATTTTTTTTGGTAGGTATATGTAATTAGCAGACAGAGAATTAAACAGCTAGGATGTTCTATTGGGTCTGTTTTCTTATCTGCTCATACATGTAGCAGCCAAGAAATATCCCCAGCCCCCATACCTCAATGACAGCCCTGAATTCTTTGCTGTAATTTTGTTTTTATGAGTAATAAGAATTGTTGTTACTGGACACTTTACCGCTTGCTTTCTTTTTTTCTCACACCTGTGAGACCTTGGAAAGCACTATGCTGCTTTTAAGATAACTACGCACTTAATAAACTACCATTGCACAAATAAGATGAATGTTTTGGTGTCTTTTTGTTCGATAGGTGGTACTCTCCAAGCCTTGGACAAATCTAAGTGCACAGCAGTACCAGCCTGCATTTATCAACACATTCTTCAATCTTGGTGTCAAGGGAGGCATAGCTATCAGTGTTGTGGAGTATACCATGGATGATGCTTATAATGGTGGAGGTTGTCTTCTGATTACTGGGAATGCTCACTCCACTCAAGAGATGTCTAAGGGTGTTGTTAGGTGAAGTATTCTCTAGTTTTTTTCCCAGTGGTTAGAGCATCTGATTTGTGTCTGGAATGTCTTGGGTTCAAGTCCCATCTGGAACTCAGAAATTTTTCTGAGTTCTTCTCTCCACACATATCATTCCGTATTTATTATTTATTGCTCAGAGAGTGTTTATAAATGTGATTGTGCAATGCAGTTAATTTGTGTGTTCATTTGACATAATGTGACTGCCCGATGTGGTCCTTATGTCAGCCCACAAATGACCTGCTCAACACTAGAATTCACATTAGCTCAGTGGTTAGGGCACCTGATTAGTGTCTGGAAGGTCGTGGGTTCATTTTTCCCATCTGGGAAATTTTTTCTGAGTTCTTCTCTCCACAGATATTCTATTGATTTATTCTTTCCGTGTTGTAAGTAGAATTTATTCTCATAGTGTCAAAATACATTACTTCATGACAATAATACAAAATTATGTTTTAAAAAAACACAATGCTACATTAACGAATTAAAATAAAATGTCATTTTCATTTATTAATAATTTTTATATTATCGTCATTAAGCAATGTACTTTGTTGCCATGAGAATAAATATGTCAGTGGAGCCTAGCATATTCTTATTTCACAACTCATATTGTTAGTTTCTGCAGGTCTAAACTTAACTGACCATGAACATAAAATTGAAGATTTACTAAACACAATATTCAATTTATTAAAACTTGTTAGATTAAGAACTAAAAAAGAGGTTTTTCGTTATCTACGTTCCTTTTTCACTTGCGGCTACTTCAACAGTTGCACTACTTTCAGACCACTACTTTTCCTCGCATTTAAACTGAAATTCCACTGTTTTTCGTGCTTCTTTCCCCAGACTATTCAAAACAGATTTCCAGATTACGGGACCTCTTTTGGTGTCATTCACATTTAAGTTGGACCCTAAAGACTGCATTGATGTGGCTTTACAGCTTCACACTAACAAGATGCCTACTTATCTTCTGTTCTGTCCACTGCCATCAGTAAAGGAACAAGGTACATGTATCCACTGGTATCTGTATAAACTTGATCTTAAACTGGAGGGCAGTGTACTTAAGTGAAACCCTGAAACAGTGAACCCCTCTAAAACGAAATGTTTGTTAACCCTTGAAGTCACAACAGTGATCAACATCGATTTTCTCCTTGCAATATCAGTACATTATCAACAGAAAAAAGTTACGAGAATTAATAAAATGATCACCGAAGGAAAAATGCTTTGATCTTTTATCAGTCGTAAGTTGATGCTGGGGCTTAAGGGGTTAAATGGGTTAAGCGAGTGATGCTCTTTACCCCACTTGTAGTAAAGTATGTGGAAGATATCAGTACAACTCCCCCCTTTCCAGGTAATTAGCCATTGACTACTCGTTCCTAACTGTCTTAAGAACGGGGGCGAGTAGTCTAGGAATAATTGTCTAGGGAGGGGGCGAGTTGTCTATAATGACATATACTCTGTTACAATGTGTGGGGTTTTCTTTGGTTATGTACCGAATGGTGGAGCTATGCCATTGGTGAAAGACGGAAACATGAAAAACCAAATAAATTAGTTGAATGAAAGTGTTCGTTGATTCCGCGTGGATTCAAAGAACGATTTTTTTATGTTCTGAGGTTTAGCATGTTGACTTGGTGTAAAATTGGAGTGCTGATTGCCATGTTGCCACCAATGTATTTCTTCTGATGTGCTGGAAAAATTGGATTCACCACGGACCATCACGAAATAAGCTGTTCTGTTTGTAACAACTATCTGTGATTGTAGATGACAAGGAACTTCTAGTGAAAAAAAGGAACTATTATTTTAGTGTTTTACTTTCCTCATGTGTGCTTTGATCTGAAATCGTCGTTGTAGCTTGATTTTCACCTGTTTGCAGGATCTTTCCTAATATTGCACCTTTTTAACAATTTTCAGATCCCGGCCAGATGGAAGATTCTGATTTAAATAACAAGCTGATTCGGCGTTATGGCATTCCGAAGTCGCGGACACTGACGTCATCAGTGTTCACGTCCCCAATTGGTTCAGAGCATTACACATTGTTTGAGCCGCTGTCAGGTGATCCTCATCAAGTCGCCCAGCAGGCGTTTGGTGTAAAAGAATATGACGAAACTGGAACTAGCTCAGAATGGCTCACGCGGTAAGTGCAGCAGTTAATAGTAAAGGATGAAGACACAATCACAGTCATAATTCTTTGAAACAGTTCTGGAAAACGCAAGCGACACGTATGAAACCGCAAGAACCAAGGCGGTCCACATGGCTGGAGCTTATTCCTGTGCTCCCCCTTGCCTTCCCTTGCCTAGTCCCTGAACTGCGTCTTTCCAGGCCTTCTCGGTCAATTCGTTTCGGTGACGTATCCGAGACGAAAATCGCTCGGACCACGTGACCCGAAACGCATAGACCGCACGGAATAATGAGGCCAAATGACTAGGCAATGCTTCCCCAAGGCCTGATGCTACACTGAAGTTCATAACACGATTACCCCGGAAGCCTATTGCCGGTACACCCTTGGGGAGGACCACACACAGTATATGGAGCGAAGTTTCTTGTCCAGCAGGGAAACAGCGCAATGGCAACGAGAATGCGCGACCAAGGCGCGAACCCACATCTCGTGCGGCAAGTGTTTTTTTTTTATGGGAATGCTCACTCCACTCAAGAGATGTCTAAGGGTGTTGTTAGGTGAAGTATTCTCTAGTTTTTTTCCCAGTGGTTAGAGCATCTGATTTGTGTCTGGAATGTCTTGGGTTCAAGTCCCATCTGGAACTCAGAAATTTTTCTGAGTTCTTCTCTCCACACATATCATTCCGTATTTATTATTTATTGCTCAGAGAGTGTTTATAAATGTGATTGTGCAATGCAGTTAATTTGTGTGTTCATTTGACATAATGTGACTGCCCGATGTGGTCCTTATGTCAGCCCACAAATGACCTGCTCAACACTAGAATTCACATTAGCTCAGTGGTTAGGGCACCTGATTAGTGTCTGGAAGGTCGTGGGTTCATTTTTCCCATCTGGGAAATTTTTTCTGAGTTCTTCTCTCCACAGATATTCTATTGATTTATTCTTTCCGTGTTGTAAGTAGAATTTATTCTCATAGTGTCAAAATACATTACTTCATGACAATAATACAAAATTATGTTTTAAAAAAACACAATGCTACATTAACGAATTAAAATAAAATGTCATTTTCATTTATTAATAATTTTTATATTATCGTCATTAAGCAATGTACTTTGTTGCCATGAGAATAAATATGTCAGTGGAGCCTAGCATATTCTTATTTCACAACTCATATTGTTAGTTTCTGCAGGTCTAAACTTAACTGACCATGAACATAAAATTGAAGATTTACTAAACACAATATTCAATTTATTAAAACTTGTTAGATTAAGAACTAAAAAAGAGGTTTTTCGTTATCTACGTTCCTTTTTCACTTGCGGCTACTTCAACAGTTGCACTACTTTCAGACCACTACTTTTCCTCGCATTTAAACTGAAATTCCACTGTTTTTCGTGCTTCTTTCCCCAGACTATTCAAAACAGATTTCCAGATTACGGGACCTCTTTTGGTGTCATTCACATTTAAGTTGGACCCTAAAGACTGCATTGATGTGGCTTTACAGCTTCACACTAACAAGATGCCTACTTATCTTCTGTTCTGTCCACTGCCATCAGTAAAGGAACAAGGTACATGTATCCACTGGTATCTGTATAAACTTGATCTTAAACTGGAGGGCAGTGTACTTAAGTGAAACCCTGAAACAGTGAACCCCTCTAAAACGAAATGTTTGTTAACCCTTGAAGTCACAACAGTGATCAACATCGATTTTCTCCTTGCAATATCAGTACATTATCAACAGAAAAAAGTTACGAGAATTAATAAAATGATCACCGAAGGAAAAATGCTTTGATCTTTTATCAGTCGTAAGTTGATGCTGGGGCTTAAGGGGTTAAATGGGTTAAGCGAGTGATGCTCTTTACCCCACTTGTAGTAAAGTATGTGGAAGATATCAGTACAACTCCCCCCTTTCCAGGTAATTAGCCATTGACTACTCGTTCCTAACTGTCTTAAGAACGGGGGCGAGTAGTCTAGGAATAATTGTCTAGGGAGGGGGCGAGTTGTCTATAATGACATATACTCTGTTACAATGTGTGGGGTTTTCTTTGGTTATGTACCGAATGGTGGAGCTATGCCATTGGTGAAAGACGGAAACATGAAAAACCAAATAAATTAGTTGAATGAAAGTGTTCGTTGATTCCGCGTGGATTCAAAGAACGATTTTTTTATGTTCTGAGGTTTAGCATGTTGACTTGGTGTAAAATTGGAGTGCTGATTGCCATGTTGCCACCAATGTATTTCTTCTGATGTGCTGGAAAAATTGGATTCACCACGGACCATCACGAAATAAGCTGTTCTGTTTGTAACAACTATCTGTGATTGTAGATGACAAGGAACTTCTAGTGAAAAAAAGGAACTATTATTTTAGTGTTTTACTTTCCTCATGTGTGCTTTGATCTGAAATCGTCGTTGTAGCTTGATTTTCACCTGTTTGCAGGATCTTTCCTAATATTGCACCTTTTTAACAATTTTCAGATCCCGGCCAGATGGAAGATTCTGATTTAAATAACAAGCTGATTCGGCGTTATGGCATTCCGAAGTCGCGGACACTGACGTCATCAGTGTTCACGTCCCCAATTGGTTCAGAGCATTACACATTGTTTGAGCCGCTGTCAGGTGATCCTCATCAAGTCGCCCAGCAGGCGTTTGGTGTAAAAGAATATGACGAAACTGGAACTAGCTCAGAATGGCTCACGCGGTAAGTGCAGCAGTTAATAGTAAAGGATGAAGACACAATCACAGTCATAATTCTTTGAAACAGTTCTGGAAAACGCAAGCGACACGTATGAAACCGCAAGAACCAAGGCGGTCCACATGGCTGGAGCTTATTCCTGTGCTCCCCCTTGCCTTCCCTTGCCTAGTCCCTGAACTGCGTCTTTCCAGGCCTTCTCGGTCAATTCGTTTCGGTGACGTATCCGAGACGAAAATCGCTCGGACCACGTGACCCGAAACGCATAGACCGCACGGAATAATGAGGCCAAATGACTAGGCAATGCTTCCCCAAGGCCTGATGCTACACTGAAGTTCATAACACGATTACCCCGGAAGCCTATTGCCGGTACACCCTTGGGGAGGACCACACACAGTATATGGAGCGAAGTTTCTTGTCCAGCAGGGAAACAGCGCAATGGCAACGAGAATGCGCGACCAAGGCGCGAACCCACATCTCGTGCGGCAAGTGTTTTTTTTTTTTTTATTGGAGAAAGGTAACCCATAGGGAAGTTCTTTTTTGCTTGCTGCCCCATGTAAATCTTGATTTATTTTCTATCCTATTTGCTTGATCAGGCATTACTTAATCGCCGTCCACATGGGCGGAGGCGGTCCACATGGCTGGAGCTTATTCCTGTGCTTCCCCGTGCCTAGTCCCTGAACTGCGTCTTCCCAGGCCTTCTTGGTCAATTCGTTTCGGTGACGTATCCGAGACGAAAATCGCTCGGACCACGTGACCCGAAACGCATAGACCGCGCGGAATGATGAGTCCTAAAGATAAAGGACTATCGGAAAAAGATAACTCATAGGGAAGTTCTTTTTTTTGCTGGCTCTCCCATGTAAATCTTGAATTATTTTCTATCCTATTTGCTTCATCAGTTATTACTTAATCGCCGGTAAAGAGTTAGAGGGATGCACAGTGCAAGAAATTCGACTGCTTTGTACCGTTTCTCCTGGTAAAGAGCTGAATTGTTTTTAGCGTTGATTTAAACATTGGCATGAGTTTTTATTCATTCTTGGCGTTAGTGGAAAGCACACACAGATGGTCTCTTGTTTACTATCCTTTATTGTTGCTTATTTAGGTGCGAAATCCACGGGAACATTTAAACTTCACTTAGGAGAAATCAAGGTGATTACTTTTCTTATTGATTATATTCATCGCGTTTAAAATAATGAGTTTTTTGAACCTTCTGGAGGCGAACACCTTTGGGACTAGAGTTCCAGAAGCTTTGAAATCCTGCTTCTGATTGGTCATGAAATATTTTCTGGCCAATTAAAAGAAAGAATTTCAAATGAGACTGCCGGGGGGGCTCTGCCATTTTTCCTGTTAACTTTGTCGGTAATGACAACTTTGTCGTTTGGCTGCCCCTGGGGTCTCTGACGGTTTATCGGGGATAGTTTTTAAGCTCATCCTCGAACACGGTCTACCAGCACTATTATAATTCATATCCATTGCCACTGCGTTAAAGAGTTTGGGGAATTTTAATTTGTGAGGTATTCTTATAGAGTGACCATAAAATATAAAGCTAACCAGTTTTGAAATGTTAGAAGATAATTCACAACATTTTCATTTTGTACTAGATCGTTGATCCTAAAGTTCTCAAACACCCCCTTGCTTCTGTACGAAATATTAGATGCCTCGACTTGATATGGAAGCCAACTGACCAGGGGTACAGCTTGAGCCTCACCCTCGTGTGGAACTGTCCAATGAACGATGAGCAGTTTGATAAACCTGCGCACTTCAACGTCTTCAAAGCAACAGAAGATTCCAACCTGTTTTTGGGGCGCGCTTTTGTCGAGGCGTATCGAGTTTGTCAACTGCCCGTGTCGAAAAACTGTTCTTCAGTAGAATTTGTAGTTCAGATTGTGACTCAGTCTGGGTTGAAGAAGCCTCTACAAGAATGCAGTCGTTTTAAGTTAAATTGGTAGAGCGAGTTCTTGTTTGACTTTTGCTAAAAATGCCCATTCTATCCATGTGTCTTGCTGAGCGGACATTAATCTTGTCACCTTTGGCCAATAATAACGAAAATAAACAACGCAGCGAACCAATCAGGGCTCGAAGGAGAAATAAGCAACCCGCGGCTAATGATAATAATAATAATCATCATCATCATCCTCATCCTCATCCTCATCCTCATCATCATCATCATCATCATCATCAACTTTATTTAACGAGGGTAACACGGGACAGTACTTAAACTGAATAACTAGTGGCCCTCAAACTAAAATTATAGAACAAAAAGTAAGTAACTCAAAATACATATCGTTAAAGAAAAAGAACTATAAATAAATATATGAATAAGACTAAAAGAAAACTATATTACAATTATAAAATATCCTTACAATGAATATCCACAAACTGCAGTTACAATAAGAATACAGCTAGGATGGGTCAAGCGAGATGAGGGTTGTGAAATGCTGGATTAGCATAAAACTAAGAAATAAAGTTAAGTTTCACTTAAGCTAAAATGATCAACGTCATTGTATCTCGTTAAAAAATGACTATAAGTAGCCTTTCTAAATGAGGCTACACATGTTCCTTTCTTAAGGTTAATGGGAGAGAGTCCCAGAGCCTGGTCGCGGACACGCTAAAAGTTCTCCCTCCCTCAGGTTCACGATTATATCTGGGGCAGACGAGGTTTAAGGCACTGTACCGCCCACTGCGTGTGTGTAAATCTGCATTGCATTTAAGAAGGCTCTAGCGGGAAAACATGCAACCATTGCTTAGCGCGGAAAAACGCGTTAACCTAACGATGTGTCGCTTAGCAAAGCGACACCAGTGCCTAGCAGTTTTGTTGCCCCCGCAGGGATTTCGCCCAGAAGGCGAAATCCCGAGGAGGCACTCTAGTAACTCGCGCGTATATTAAGGAAAGTACGTACAGTTGAAATATACAGTCAGTATGCCAAAAAAATCTCGATTTGCTTGAACAGGGGCCGCAAGGAATCGGTAGGTAATGATGACGTTTCTATTGTTTGCGACCGCAAGTACGAAATGATTAGGATGACGTAAAGACAGAAAATCCCGAAGGGACCGCTTAGGTAGATTTTGTGACATTTATTGTGCAGTCATACTTCGTTACGTGTTATCAGTTACTGTGGATCAGTTGTTTTGAAAGTTATGGACGCAAAGACACTCGTTAAGCGCAGATTCTCTTTGTCAGTTTGATTGGCTGAGAAAATTCGAACAACTCTCTCATCTCATCATGTAAAACCAACACCACACGTGACTTCCTTCGACACGTTTTCGCGCGCTTTCCGTCTTGTATTTGCCTTGAGATCCATCTGATCGATAGTCTGTGTGTTGCGATGCTATAGCTGTTAGAACACTTAATTGGACGCTGTTCTATCATCCTAAAGTAATGAAAGTTCAGTGGACTGGTAAAATGTGTTCGTTATAACGGGGCTACGTTTTATCGCGGTCTTGTCCCATATTTCTGTACATCGTTATATGGCCATTTATCAAAGGGATTTTTGTGTATTTTAGCTTATCGACCTTTGTCGCCGTTAATCGTTTAGCTCCGGCTTCGATTTTCGTGACTTACGAACCCTATAGAAAAAGTAGCCCTGATAATTTTGTTGAGCATGCTAAGATCTAATAAGCTTGAACAATTAAACTCAAGAGTAGCTATAAGTCTTAAGAAAAGGCCCAAAAAAGTAAACGTTCTTATCCCGCGCGGAATCAGATAATCAGTGTTACCTCATCAGTTTTCAAATCTCCGTGTTCAAACCGTCCACACAACGGGTTACCGTACGTTTTTTAAAATTTCCACCCCTGAAAGCGTTGAAAAAAAAAATGCACAGAATTCTTTATTGGACGTGAATCACAAACATGCATTACAGATCCTATAGGTGACACCGTTGGCTTTGAAGGTATGAACACATAAGCTCTGTTTCGGTGAAATAAAGTGGAACTTTAAAATAAAGACTTTTTAAACTAGAATTTTGTCAAACGGCTGGTAAGTGCGTGAACAAAGTGATTTCAATAGGCCATACCGAACTTGTATCCATGAGTTGTGCAACCAAGAGAGGTTGGTTTATAAACCTTGCACAAGTGCGGCGTCTTTCCAGGTCTTCTCGGTCAATGCACTTCGCTGACATATCATGAGTAAGCTTTAGGTGCTACTTTTTTTAACCGTTCTGGAAGCAGGAACGAAGTAAAGTGGGCGAAACAGAGCTATGCTCTTTTCTACCTGAACACCTGCATCGGGGCGACTGTCAGTTATGAAGTTTGAGTTATCACTTTTCAAAAGGGCGTAGGAAAATCACTATTTTTAAAATTATACCTTACTGGCCCCGATCAACAACAACGTCAAGGTGGTAAATGATTTTCGGTCATTTTTTGTTCCGCTTTGGCAAAAATATGTTCTTTCTCTCGCAGGGAAACCCGTTAAAACAAGTTTTTAGTTTATTTTGTTTTGGAGTAATGAGGAGAAATTAAAAAGAAATGTTAACATCTAGCCTGATAATCGTATATTTAGATCTGCTTCAGCGGAAGGCCGGTGCCAATACTGCGCTTGCTCTTTTTCAACGGAAATATATTTGTTTTTTCTTCATCTCGGTGCGCAACTAAACTAATCATGTGGGAAAATCATAAACAACCTGGTTACTGAATTCAGAGACATATCCAGCCTCTCAGCCTGAGCCACATATTTTTTTTAATAGGATGGTAAAGTTAGGGGAGTATACGAGGGGGCTGTTTGCTTGCTTGTATCACCAACTTCTCACCCCCTAGCTATATGAACAGAAGTCAGTGCGTATTGAATATAATGAAAATTTAACGCTCTGTTTACTTACATATTTCGCTCTTAATACTTTATCTTAGTTAGTTTGTTTCTCTTTTCTCTCGAGTTTTTGTTGTGAAACGATAGTAACGTGCGTTTTGCTTCAAAAAAAAAAAAAAACTAAATCACGCAAACGTCCCTTTGATTTTGGATGGTTCCTAAACTTTCAGAAATTTGTACGCCAAGCTTTGACGACTTCGACGAAGATTTAGCGTGATTCAATATTAAATTTTCTCTGTTGCCGTCTAGTGGCGGCTTATGCCATTCATCTTACTGATATGTTCCGGACGAACAGTTTTCAAGATCAGTCTGTATAGTTTCAGAATACTGTTGAAGAAACTAATACTAAGTGCCCTGTTTAAACTGTTTGAAACTGTTTGAACAATCCGTCACCAAACGAAAACACAGCAAAACGTAAAAAATCTGAAATATCAATTTTAATCCTCCCAGTACGAGTTTCTAAGCGCAATTGGGCATATCGGTAAAAATACATTAATACGGGATTAATATGGCTCGCAGGTTTCGGTGATCTGTGAAATAAACAAGGTTGTGTAAGTGTTAAAGAGCCTAAGCCAAAGGCCAAATCTAATAGTTACTTTATTGACTGTTTATTCACACAAACCAAATCTTACCATGTTTTATTATAATATTTATTGATTTGTATTGCGCAAATATCAATCCAGGGAAAGAAATTTTCATCTGCGCATAACATTGACTCAACAAAATCCTAAAATCCTAGTACATATTCCAAAAACAAAATTTACAGATCGTTCCCAAAAATTAGTAAAAATAACAATTTGAAAATAAAAATTAATCTTTAAAATCCTATATACAAATCCTTCTTAATAAAGAGAATAAAAACAATAAATTAGCTGGGAAACGCCTTCTGAAATAAATGAGTTTTAAGAGCCTTCTTGAAAGCATTAACTGAAGATATATTTCTAATAAAAAGGGGGAGATCGTTCCATAATTTAGGGGCAGCCATATAAAAAGATCGATCACCAAGCGTGGAAAGAGACTTGCATGGTGGAATGTTAAGAAGTTTGCCGTTATTTGATCTAAGATAGTACCTACCCCCTGTGTCTTTCGGTGATACAAGTTCGGAAATGTAAGTCGGAGCAAGTTTATGAATAGCCTTACAAGTTAACAATAAAATTTTAAAAACAATTCGATATGCTACGGGTAACCAGTGTAGGGACTCAGAGGCCATGAGGGCGAGAGGAATAATTGTTTTAGTAAAATCTACCTTGCTGGTCAAAAATATCGAGACAAAACAACTTTAGCTGGTTAAAGCTAGACCTTAATCCTTCTTTTACCGCCAAGAAGCCGGCGCTTTCGCTACAAGTGGGCTATAACATATAGCCTAGTAGTAGTTCAACCAATCAGAACGCAGCATTGATAATAGACCACAAGTGGGATTTTACTAATAGCGAATATCTGTAGGGTGCGCTGATTTCTTAACTGTAGGTTCTTAACCAATGAAAAGGCGGATAAAGAGTGAAATGTATCACAAACTGAGTAACTGATTAAAACAATTGCAAAGTCATGTTTTTTAAAAATATCCATACCTCACTCTTCTTTCATGTATTTAATTTCTTATTGCCGAGAAAATTTAACTGATTTATGCCATAGAAATTATATGATGCACACGCCATATGCTTCAAAGAGGAGCTCTATTAAGAGTCCTTTAGTGAATTATAAAATTGATCAAAACACTTTTCGACTTGTAGGATAGCAACTTTTTATCCTCTTGAGTGTCGATTAAATAATTTTAGCCGGACTGGCTTTTTCACTCGTTTCACTCAATCAAAACGTCGTGCAGTATACAAATGTATCGCACAAATAAAAGTTTATCAGATCGACCTCAGTAGTCACTGATCGTAAATGCACCAGAATGAAATAAATGTAGGGAGGAGAAAAAATTTCTCCTCTTTCTCGCGCAAACGTTATAACAAGAAATCGAAAGAAAAGCTGCTGATTCTTTCATTACTGATCATGCATTCTAGCATCTGTGCGCTATTGATGGTAAATCTAAAATATGTATAAAATAAAGTATGACTGTCAAAAATAACCTAAACTAAAGGTAACGTTTAATTTCAACTCGGAATATAAGGAAAGTTCTGTTTAAAACACTCACCTGGTGGTCTC